ATTATTGGAACTGAATATTCTCTCTTTAAATCTCTGCTTACTGGATACTGATAACATTGCTATCAAATTTTTTATGGTAAGCTTAACTATTTAGTCAGAGTGGGGTGGACTGAATGTGTGTGTCCTTCCAAGATGCACATGTTGAAAACTAAATCCCCAATGTGTTGGCAGTAGGAGGTGAGACCTTTGGGAAATAATTAGGTCACAAAGCAGAGCCCTGGTGAATGGGTAAGTGTCAATAAAAGGATGAAAAAGCCAGGGCTTGCACTCTCCACCCTGTAAGGACACAACAGAAGGCAGCCCTCTGTAAACCAAGAAAGTAACTTCATGGAGAACCCGATCATGCTGGCACCTTGATCTTGAACTTCCAGCTTCCAGAACTGTGTTAAATAAATGTCTGTGTTTACTCCACCCAATCTACGGTATTTCGTTAGAGGAGCCTGCACTTATTAAGGCACTGCTATTCATATGTATCTATTAATTTTAACGTATTTGTCTTAATTAGCTCTTCATACTTTAAAAATAATCTTATGTTGTTATAACTGTTGCAAATAATGTTTGAATCTATATTAATAAAAGGGTAATATACTAATTAGACTGGATGTCTTCCAGACGTCCTTCCAGACAAAGCCACAGCGCTGCAAGGGCCGAGGGGCAGTGGTGCAGGAGAGGCGGCAGTGTGTGTGGGAGGAGAAGACTCTGGAGGCAGCCGTGGGAGAAGGCAGCTCCACGGCCCCTTTTGCAGAGGCAACACGGAAGAGGCCTCAGTGTGGGCCGGTCCAGTGCCAAGGCCCCTTCCACAGAGGCAGCGGGAGAGGGGGCTGTGCGGTCCGGTCTCAGTGCTGCCCCTTCTGCAGAGACAGTCGCAGAGGCAGCAGCGTGAGCCAGTCCCGGTGCCACACCTCCACAGAGGCTGGACAGGGTGCGACCTGCTGTGCCTCAACATCCCACAGCCCCTCCCCCAGCCGGCCTGGTCCCAGATCGCCCCCCCCACCCACCAGTGGGGGGAGGGGGGGAGGACAGGGCCAATGCTACGAAGTGAGGGCCAATGGCCAGCAGTCCTAGCAGTGGCTGCGAAGGCCAAGGGCTGGCAGCTGCGGTAGCCAGCAGTGGCAGCAGCAGCAGGGTGATGGGGATGGTGCCTTCCCCTGATCAGCCGGGTCACCTCCCACAGAGGAGGACATCCCCTGAGGGCTCCTGTACTGAGAGGAGGCAGGCCAGGCTGAGGGGACCCTCCCCATGCACGAATGTTTGTGCACCAGGCCTCTAGTTAATCTATAATTTGGTTTACATTGTTTGAAGGCAAAGAATTTATTAAACTTTACATAGCCTAATCAACTTTGATATTTTCCTGTATGTTTCCACTCACTGTTTTTAAGTTCTAAAAAGCTTCCGCCCACCCTAGCCCTGCTCCAATGCATTATCAACCAACCACATACAGACACACTGGCAAAGGATGGAAGCATGGTTCAGCACAATTTTCAAGCAATCTTTGGCTAAATACTGAACTCTGGTGAATACTAGAAAAGCCAAGCTTAAAATGTAAAAAGTAAAGGTTACTTGCACACAAGCACCTTGATATCACAACAGTCAATCTGAAAATTGAAATGACCTCTAAGTGGCTAACGGGTAGCATATACAGCTTGTATACTCTGGACAAAGGGACAATTCCTGGCCAGAGCAGGAGAGTGCGGGAGAGGAGGAGATTTCATCAAGATACTCAGAAGAGTGCACCATTTAAAACTTATAAACGGTTTATTTCTGAAACTTTTCTTGTAGTATTTTCAGACCAAAGTTGACCATGGTTAACGGAAACTGGAAAGTGAAACCACTGAAAAGAAGAGACTACTTTAGACTCTTAATAGAAAATAAGCAGCTCCCTCTTTAGAATATCACTGTGGATTATGATTGCATTATTCCCTACATGAAGCCCTTCCCAGAACAGAAACCAAAGTATCATTTAAGAATACAAGAGGAAAAGGAAGCTACAATAGTTAAAAGTTAAGTATTCCTACTAAGAAACTGCGAAAAACCATAAAAAGACTTAGTCTTTTTTTTTTGGGGGGGGGGGGGCCTATGGGCCCAAAACCACATATATAACACATCATATACTAAAATACAAAGAAGATAGTGGAATCACATCCCAGGAACAAACATCCAACAGGCACAGGTGTGAAGAGGATGTGGAGAGCTAAGCATAACCAAGAAAGGAAGGTGGCCCTCAGAGTCAGGTGGAATACAGGATGTGCTGAGGAGTCCAATGTTCTGAAAGTTGACAGAGTTGAGATGGAAGTCAGAGTCCAGATGAAACAGATGATTGGTGAAAAGAAACCAGAGAAGTACAAGGTGAAGCTCAAATGCAGGATTTCTCAGGAAAAGAAAATCTGGAGTTGACCAATACAAGGAAAATAAGTCAAAGATTGCTGATGGCAGGCGTTTAGGGGCATCGTGCGCAGAACACAGTGAATGAGAAGTGTTAAAGTGAACTGATGAAAAGAGGAGGCAATGAAATGGACATAGGGGGTGAGAAAAACAATTGACTGTATCCATGCATCAGAACATATGCTAACAAGGGAGAAATTTCTGCTATTTCTATTCACTGCTATATGCCCAATGCCTTTAACAGGGCCTGACAAAGAGTGGGCTCCTAATAATAATTTGTTAAGTGAATGAATTTTCTCTGAGGCCAACTTGCTCGTAAGATTTGGGGTAAATGAAAGGTAAATGCTTAGAAAGCTAAATATGCACACACAGAAGAGACTGTGGCAATAGGTCAGTGTAGAAGAACTGACCCATATTCAAATCTGTCGTAATTGCCCTGGCCAGTGTGGCTCAGCTGGTTGGAGCATCCATCGTCCAGTACACTGAAAGGTCTCAGGTTCGATTCCCCATCAGGGCACATACCTAGGTTTTGGGTTCCAGCCCCAGTTGGGGCATGTACAAGAGACAATAGATCAATATTTCTCTTTCTCTCTCTCTCCCTTCCTCTCTCTCTCAAATCAATAAAAACATATCCTCAGGTGAAGATTAAAAAAATGTCACAATTTTTCATCATTTCTTTTTTTTTTAATGGTTGTCTTTTTTTCTACATATATTTTTTTTATTGATTTAAAAGAGGAAAGGGTAGGGGGAGAGAGAATCATCGATCGGCTGCTTCCTACACGCTCCACACTGGGGAATGAGCCCACAACCATGTGCCCTGACCAGGAATCAAACCGCAATCTCCCAGCTCATAGATCAACACTCACCCCACTGAGCCATGCCAGCCAGGCTCACCATCTATATCCTATATAATAAAAAGGTAATATGCAAATTGACCCTAACAGCAGAATGACTGGGAATGACTGGTCATTATGACACACAATGACCACCAGGGGCAGATGCTGAATGCAGGAGCTGCCCCCTGGTGGTCAGTGTGCTCCCACAGGGAGAGCTCTGCTCAGCCACAAGCCAGGCTGACAGCTGTCAGCACAGCGGTGGTGGCAGGAGCCTCTCCCGCCTCCTCAGTAATGCTAAGGATGTCCGACTGCAGCTTAGGCTTGCTCCCCAATGGCAAGTGGACATCCCGAGGGCTCCCAGGTTGCCAGAGGGATGTCTGACTGCCAGCTTAGGCCCAATCCCCCCAGGAGCGGGCCTAAGCCAGCAGGTGGGCATCCCCCAAGGGGTCCCAGATGGTGAGAGGGCACATGCTGGGCTGAGGACACCCGCTGCATGCACAAATTTTTGTGCACTGGGCCCCTAGTAATATAATAAAAGCCTAATATGCAAATCGACCAAACTGTGGAACAACCAGTTGGCGGGGGGCAGGGCTGGCGCCAGACCAGACAAGGCGGGTGCCAGCGGGCAGAGGGAGGGGACAGCAATCGTGGGGCAGCAGCAACCAGCAGCGGGGCAATGGGGGGGCAGAGCCGGCCGGTGCCATCCCTCAATCGACCCACCAGTCACCTCCTGCAGAGGGAGGCCAGACTGCAGACTAAGCCATCAGTCGGATATCCCCTGAGGGCTCCCGGACTGTGAGAGGACACAGGTGGGGAGGGCTGAGGGACCCCAAAAGTGCACGAATTTTTGTGCACAGGGCCTCTAGTCTATATAATAAAAGCCTAAGCAAGCATTACAGCAGAACAACGGGTCGCTAGGGTAAGCACTGACCACCAGGAGACAGACACTCAACGCAGGAGCTGCCCCCTGGTGGTCAGTGCGTTCCCACAGGGGCAGCGCCGCTCAGCCAGAAGCCAGGCTCACGTGGCAGCACTAAGGAGCAGTGAGCCGAGCGGTAAGGAGCAGCGAGCAGGAAGGCGGTAAGGAGCGAGGGGTCCCGGGCTATAAGAGGGATATCCGCCAAGGGGTCCCAAACTGTGAGAGGACTCGGGCCGAGCTGAGGGACACCCTCCCCCTGCTCCCGCACAAATTTTGTGCACCGGACCTCTGGTTTCTTAATAAAAGTACAGAAAATGATACACTCATGGTAAAAGGGTTGCTGCAAAGAAAAACTAATCAGTTGTTTATTTCACTTCAAAAATTCAAAGTTCACATGGTCTCAGATTTATGTATCTGAGAAAAATAAAAGATTGGAAGTAGGGGGGGAAAAATAACTAAATAAGTGCATACTTTCCACAGAATTCAAAACATAACCACATTTTAAAAGTTTATTTTACTGATTTATCATACCTAGTTATATAATAGCAATGTAAAATTTTATCCAAATAAAGATTATCATTTCCTATTTTCTGTACCATATGCAATTGTGTAGGGACAAAGAAGGTTTAGATTAGATTTTTAGATTTAATACCATAGATATCTTTAAGCTTACAAAGTGCTCATGTTAAGTTTCAAAATGCAATACCAAAACATTAATGGTAGTTACGTGTGTGGGACACATAATGATTTTTATTTTTATATCCTTATTATACTCTCAGTAGTTTACCTATATAATATATTACTGAGTTTTAGAGACATTCAAAAAACAAAGTATTATTAAAAATTGTTTTGCAATTACTCACCACATTATAATAGCTTTTGTTAATGGCAGTTGTATCAAATCCTTTGGGAGGGCTCTTCAATGTTCCAGATTTGGGAGACACAGGCTTTTCTGAAATAAAAATGTAATGTAGTTTTACTGATCAAAACTAGAGACAACCAAATGCACCAGCCCCCACATAGCCAAACATGAATGGTACAGCAACCTCAATTGAAATAAACCAAAAAGAACCTAACGGGTTTGGCTCAGTGGATAGAGCGTCGGCCTGCGGACTCAAGGGCTCCAGGTTCAATTCGGTCAAGGGCATGTACCTTGGTTGTGGGCACATCCCCAGTATGGGGTGTGCAGGAGGCAGCTGATCGATGTTTCTCTCATTGATGTTTCTGACTCTCTATCCCTCTCCCTTCCTCTCTGTAAAAAATCAGTAAAATATATATATTTTTTAAAAAGAAACCAAAAAGGGGAAGCTGAACAGAAGGCCTGCGCACGTCCGGGGGCACCACAGTGCCTGCGTCTCTTCATGCTCAACAACCTGACGTCAGAGAGCTGAGTAATGGTAAACTATTACCCATGCAGAATTAGAGAAAATGTTGGCAAATATTTCACAAAATTAAAGCATCAAGACCCACAGTCTAGACCAGTGGTTCTCAACCTGTGGGTTGCGACCCCTTTGGCAGTCGAACGACCCTTTCACAGGGGTCGCCTAAGACCATCCTGCATATCAGATATTTACATTACGATTCATAACAGTAGCAACATTACAGTTATGAAGTAGCAACGAAAATAATTTTATGGTTGGGTCACAACATGAGGAACTGTATTTAAAGAGCCAGAAGGTTGAGAACCATTGGTCTAGACTATATTTCAGGGATTCTGATCACTCAGAACACAAAAGTCTCTCTTAACAATATGGTCTGGCTCAAGGTGATAGACAAAAGAGAAGGAAGGCCACCCAAATGGGGGGAAAAAACAATAGAAAAAACCACACTGCCTTAAGAACTTCCACACAAGTGACAACAATGAAAGCTGTCATGAATGCTGCAAGGATTCAAATATTTTTAAACTGCATGGCTTTTATTCAACATCCATTCAAGAGAAATTAAGCACAATTGGTACTGAAGAAGTGCTTTCAGATAACATGGCTCTCAGAATGTGTGTGTGTGTGTGTGTGTGTGTGTGTGTGTGTGTGTGTGTCTGTCACTGGTTCTACGAGGAGAGGTGTGTCATATCTAACATTAGTTCTATGTGTGGGTTTGTCTATCACTGGTTCTATGGGGTGGGTGTGTCTGATAGGTAAAACGTGATACAATCCACTATTACTGAGGGATGGGGAAATGGTGCTACCTTCCCAGTGGCCAAGTAAAGAAACGAGTTTTCCCTTTCTTACAATAAACTATAAGAACACTGAAAACAACAGAATTTAAACACAGATGTGCTAAAAGAAAATGAGAGTAGGGACTCCCTAGGAGATGAAAAACAGCAATGACAGGAAGGGGTCTGTGGGGAGTGAGGAAGGGTGGCTCCAGGGGCTGAGGTGCAACCAATGCAGGAATAAGACAGCCCCGGTGCAACCTGAGCAGAGTAAAACGGGGTGGGTCTCTTGGTGACCTGCATGACTGATGAAAAGAAGCCTAGAAGCTTCTAATCAAGCCTCTTCTCTGCTGGTCCAGAAGAACAGCAAGGAAGTGTGCTGGCTATTCAGGGCTGAAAACCCAGAGCCTGACCCTGCCAAAGTGTATCGCAAATCTACACAAAGCTCCCGCAGGACCACCAGGATTTGCCTGGTTCGAGAAAACCTCTGGGAGCCCCTGAGGAAGCAAATGTTACTCCTCTCTGCAGGAATACTTCTGCAACCCAGAGTATAAAGATATCCCACCCAACCACCACCCATTCCACACCAAAGAAGGGTGAGGGCTAGAGAAAACACTTATTTCCAGCAATGCAAAAAAAAAAAAAAAAAAAATACACAAGTTCCGTGTTACCTTTGTTTCTTTCCCTGCACAGAAAATATTTATATCAAACACTGTTTTTTCATAGTTAAATAACTGTGTCCAACAGCTTGCACTTTATATCACTTTTTGATGTCAAATATAAACAGAAAATATTAATAATGACAAACTTAGGAAGTGGTAGTGTGACTGCTTATTAAAGATCTGTGGATCAGCAAATGACAGTCACACATTTAATTAAGTTCTCACGTCACTGCCAAACATAGGTTATTACTCATCATCTCAAGCTAACCAGCACCTAAGGTAAGTTGGTGTGTGTTTTTTTAAAGAGAGCCTTTACTGTACAGATAATGAGCTATCTAGAAATGGAAGAAATGAATGTATTGGAAAAAAAGCTGGTGAATGTTTATGCACACATGAAACTGTACTTGTGAGGATAGAGAATATGATTTGTTCACCCCACCATCTTAGCCCTCAATGGGATTCTTTTTCCAACTGCACGCACCTCATCACACTGCCCACTAATGACTGAGAGCCTCCATGTTTACTTAATAACAGCAGCAACCAATGTCACTCATGCCCAGAACCAGCCCTGTTGCTTCTCTTTCCTTCCATCTCCTTTGAATTTAAAAATTCTCTACTGTTTGTGTGTATAAAATGCAGTAGATATCCATGTGTTTTATATATTAAAAAAAAAATGTGTATAGAAAATAAACGCTAAGTACACATTCAGGAAGAATACACAGTGCATTTGCAACAAGCATTAGAAACATCTTTATGCAGACTCTTTGAGATATCTGTCTTTAAAGAGGAACAATTTCAAAAAGAAACCGCAAATAGGTCAAAGGTACAAATACATGAAACTTGACCAGAACACTGCCATCTCTCACCACCAGAGGGCAAACAATCACGGCTCCTTACACTTCCCCAAGAGGTGCAAGAGAGAAATTGGACATGCTTCAGAACTTACCTGGACATACACAGCCCAAAAGGTATCACTCACTTAAAGGTAAACGTCAGTTTTGTTTATTCAATAAAATATTTTTAAATCAAATCAAAAGAAAAATTCACAACTTAAAGCAAGTCAGAAAATGAAGCATTAAATACACTGTTAAGTTACAATGCTTACATTATACACACTTAAAATAATTCCATTCCAAAAATCAAAAAGACACATAAATTCATTTTCTGTAAGCAAAGTGTGCCAGGTCTTAAATATACAGATTCCTCTAACTGGAGATCTTGTTAGGATCATTTTCTTATGAAACAAAAACACTGACTTGCTTTAAGTTCACATAAATTACTGAAAAGATGCAATACTGAAATGTTAAGTGATCCTAGCACTTTATTCTGAACGGTTATAAAGTGGTATGGTAAAATATTTGCTTTGCTCATTTCTCTCTCAGATGCCAACATTTAACATCAGATGGGGGTAACTTTATTTTTAATATACTCACGTAATTTAAAAACACTACGGATGAGAAGTTATTCCCAAAAGAAATTATCCCTTTGGTTCAACTGTCACATAACAGAGCGGTCGCCAACCTTTCGGACCTCACAGACCACCAGTTGGCAACCGCTGACATAAAGAATAATTAGCATAACAGGTTGCCAATATGAACCATATTACTTTTTATACCTTAAAAAATAAACAGTACAGAAATATTTCCAAAGTTACTTGCATATGCAAACTAGGGAGTCCAGGTGACAGCCACCAAGAGCTCTTGAACCACAAATGCAGTTACATACACCTGTTTGAGGGGCTCTCTCTCTCTCTCTCTCTCTCTCTCTCTCTCTCTCTCTCTCTCTCTCTCTCCCCGGCCCCCACCTCTCCCCTCCCTCCCCCCACCACACACACAGAAACCCAGGGTTAAGATAAGATGAGAATTTCAGGCAGAACAAAGTGCTGCAGTCACTCCTGCCATAAATAAACACTTAAAAATATGTAATGGCTGGTTCCTCTTAGGGCTGCATCTGTGAAACCAACTAGCTAACCCTTAAATAACAGGAGTTTGAACTGCATGGATCCACTTTCCTGTGGATTTTTTTTCAATAAATACTGTAAATATGTATTTACTTAATAACATTTTTTCTCTACCTTACTTTATACATATAATATCTGTGTTAATCGGCTGCTTAGGTTATCAGTAAAGCTTCCTTACTTGGATTTTCAGCTAAGCAGAAGTTAGCACCCCATTGTTGTTCAAGGGTGAATTATATTACCAAGAGATGATATTAATGACATTCAAATAAATTTGAAAACAACTCCCAGAAGTCACCTGAAGAGAACTTTGAGACTCACTCAAACTCTATCTTTCCTAATTTGCAAAGATTAACTTTGAAAACTCCATGAAGAGAAATACCTGAAAAGTACAAATTCATTCATTTGTATTTTTACTATCATACCAGAATTCCCATTGAAATGAGTCATTCACAGCAGAATTCAAGAAAGCCCAGATTCAGCAGACATCTACCCAATCAGTGGGCTCCACTCCTGATGATGTACTCATTACCAGCTCTGTGACCTCCTAATAGCATGCCCTACCAGCTCTGTGACCTCCTGGGTGTGCCCTTACCAGCTCTGTGACTTCCTGTGTGCCCATTACCAGCTCTGTGCCTCCTGATGCAGTCCCCATTACCAACTCTGTGCGTCCTGATGGTGTACCCATTACCAGCATTGTGCCCTCCTGATGGTGCCCATTACCAGCTCTGTGATGCCTAAATGCTATGCCCATTACCAACTCTAACTTCCTGATGGTGTGTCCATTACCAACTCTGTGACCAACCTCATCCTCACTGTAAAGGGAAAGCCCATCACCCCTCTCCCTCCTTGACTCCAGCATCCTCCTGGAAAAGGCCCAAGTGCTGTTCTCTCGTCCCCAGGAGAAAAATGGATCACGGGAATGTGAGACTAGCCAAGGAGCTGCTCTCAGATCCAGGGCTCAGCCTGCCCCAGCTCTCAAGCTCAAGGGCCAGTGCTACGGCTGTCCAGCTGTCCCATGGACTGACCAGGTCCAAACAAGTTACAGACTAAGTCACATTTCCCAACAGCTGTGTCTATTAGGTCAAAATGACATTTCATCCTGATCAACCTGATACCATTACTGCACTCTCAGCTGGATCTACACTTGAATAGATTAAAAGAATATTATTTATTTGTGCCATATGCCCTGAATATCCCAGCAACACTTGCCTTCTGGGGTTGTGGTGAAGATTGAATGAGGTCACAAATAAAAAGCACTTTATACAATAACCAGAACATAATAAGCAACCACAAAATCTTGACTATTGTTAATTTTATTATAATGATGATGAAAAATACTGCTTATTATCAACAAGCACAGAAAAATAGCAGCAATGAGATACTACTTCACACCCATTAGGATGGCTATTACAAAAAAAAAAGTGCTAGCAAGAATGTGGAGAAATTAGAACCCTTTTGTATTGCTGGTGGGACTGTAAAATGATACAGCTGCTGTGGAAATAGCATGGTTGCTCCTCAAAATTTAACACAGAATTACAGTATGAGCCACAATTCCGCCCCTAGGTAGATACCCAAGAGAACTGAAAGCAAGGACTTACACAGATACCTGTGTTCATAGCAACATTATTCATAATAGCCAATAGGTGAAAACCCAAATGTCCAGCAACAGATGAAAGGATAAACAAAATGTGGTTGTGAAACAGAAAATATATATATTTGTCTCCGCCTCCAGTTTGTGGCACAAAGCTAAAACCCATGCAATTTCCTTAAGTGATAAGAGCACTAGGAGCATCTGTTGTTCTACTGAGATGACTCTCTGGGTCAGCTCCCAGATGGGGCCTGGTTACCAAAAAGACCCAGCCATGATTAGAAATCAGCTTGGAATTTTTAGCCCTACCCCTATCTCAAGGAAGGGGAGAGGAGCTGGAGATTTGAGCTAATGATCAATGATGCCTATCTGATGAAGCCTCCATAGAAACCCCAATAGTATGAGGTTCAGAAAGCTTGCAGGTTAGTGGACACATCTACATTCTGGAAGGGTAGCACCCCCTAACTCCACAAGGACAGAAGGTTCTGTGTGCAGGAACCTTCAAGACCTCATCCTATGTGACTCTTCATCTATATCCATTATTATATAACACATCAGGAAATGTAACTAGTTAGCATTTCCCTGAGTTCTGTAAGTCATTCTAGCAAAATATCAAACCCAAGGAGGGGGTCATGGGAACCTTGATTTATTGCCTGTTGGTCAGAAGTCATTATAACCCCAATGTGGGGGTACAGTAAAAAATTACTTCCCATAAAACAAAAAATAGGGAAGAATTTCAATACTCGGCCCAAGGTCATTTACACAAGTTCAACTAAATAAAAGCACATAGTATATATATACTGAGCACATTCATTTATTTCTGTTCCTTCTCACCTAAAGGAAAAGCATCAGTCCATTCTGCCAACACTCCACTTACCACTGGGCTTGATCTCTCGGACGTAGTTGCTGGGGAACCAGCCAGTCCTGCCGTTGTGTGTGCCCTCCCACCAGCCTCCTTCCTCCACTCGAGTGACATGGATGACATCTCCTTTCGTAAAGGAAAGCTCATCTTCATTTGTCTGTTGGAAGTTAAACTTTGCTCTTACTACCAGTTGATTGTTGCTATTATCGGTCATGTCCTAAAAAAGAGAAGGGAAGAAAAATTTCATGAAGTATAGTCTAAGTCAGTGATGGCGAACCTATGACATGCGTGTCAGAGGTGACACACGAACTCATTTTTTTGGTTGATTTTTCTTTGTTAAATGGCATTTAAATATATAAAATAAATATCAAAAATATAAGTCTTCATTTTACTATGGTTGCAAATATCAAGAAATTTCTATATGTGACACAGCACCAGAGTTAAGTTAGGATTTTTCAAAATGCTGACATGCCGAGCTCAAAAGGTTCGCCATCTCTGGTCTAAGTCATTATGGAATAATTATATATTTTAATATCATAAATGTAGTATGATTACCCTAAACAGCAGAGGAAGGTTTAACTTTGAGAAATTTAAGTTTCCTATCTCCTACAGTGCATCTTGACCACCTTACCACCCCACTTCCAGTCCAGGAGGAAATTCTCTTAATGGCCTGAAAGGTCTTATTCCTGTCACTGTTATGTCTACATATACACATTTTCACATACATTTTTATGGTCTTACTAGGAGCCCAGTGCGCGATTCAAAATCGCACGGCGCCGCCCACTCCCTCTCCGGCCCTTGAAGCAGCCACAGCCGCTGCTCATCAAGCCTTCCCCCAGCGCAGGCACTCGGAGGCCCCTGCCGGCCTGCCCCCAATGCTGCACGCACAACCTCCTCCTATCTGGTCGACCCATTATGGCATCTTGGTTAATTAGCATATTTCTCTATTATATGTATAGTTAGATAGATAGCTATTATACACACTTCTCTACAATTTATAAAAAGTTAATACACTGTAGTCATTTTTTCAGGAGTACTTAGTTACTTTAATCTTAACTAGCTTTATGACTATGCTATTAATTACTTAATCAATTCTCTATTACTGGATTTAAGGCTATTTCTAGTATTTTTCTATTGCAAAACAAGGCTGCATTAAAATTATATGCACTTCCATCTTTGAACATCTGTAAATAAATCTATTATGTTAAAATCAGGTCACAGAACATGTATGACATTTCCAATTTTAGTACCTATTTATAAATCACCATCCAAAAACATTTTACAAACTTACACCAAGCTACATTCCAACCAACAGTATCTAACCAATACTGAATATTGTCAAGTATTTTTATTCTTTTTATCTCCATCTATATCATAGAGTGGGTGTCAGAGGAGCTTGCAACCCAGACATACCATAAGAGCAAATAAGAACAAATAAAATCGTGCCCTCCTGGCCCAAGGAGCAGCAAAGGAGCAACAGGCAGGCACTGACAGTGGGTACAGGCATTTAGCCTGCACCTGGGTGTCCACGGAGACTGAGTAGGACATCCCACACCCCACAGAGAGCATCAGTACTCCACCTTCGTAGGTGATATTAGCAAAAATCAGATAGGGGTTCCCAGCCTCCACCCAAACCAGGTGGTAGCAGGCTACCACATCATTAAATATCCTAAAATACTTAATTCTTATTTATCTATTTAGCCATTATATACTATAAATATAATATTATAAATATTTATATATTATATTACATATTAACTATTATGCATTATAAATATCTAACAAGGCATCCTCCCCTGCTCCCCTGCACTCCACCTAGCCCCAGGGGACCACCCAGACCTAGAATCTCCTCACATTCCATCCAGCCTTAGAAGAGGACTAAGGCAAACTAAGCTGTCACTGGAACCTATAGCCTACCAACCTAGGCCAGGACCACTCACTAAACCCAATCAGGGCCGAAGGCTGATAAGATACAAGATTTAAGTAGGACCCAGCATCTCCTACCTAATACACTCTCCGAAGTCTCCAGGATACAATAAAAAACAACTCATTCCAAGAACGTGGAAAATCACAGCTTAAATGAGAAAAGGCATTGATAGCAACAACAAGATGAAGCAGATGCTGGGATCATCAGAAAAAGTTTTCATCATCAAAATCCTCAAAAAGCAATTACAAATTCTCTCAATCCAATATAACAAAAGCCTAGGTGGCATCATGCGCAACATTGCCAATAGAGGGTCAGCAGGGGAGGGCAGTTATGGGCAATCAGGCCGGCAGGGGAGGGCAGTTGTGGAAATCAGGCCAGCAAGGGAGGGCAGTTGGGGCGATCAGGCCGGCAGGGGAGAGCAGTTGTGGAAATCAGGCCAGCAGGGAGGGCAGTTGGGAGCGATCAGGCCGGCAGGGGAGAGCAGTTGGGGGCAATCAGGCCGGCAGGGGAGCAGTTAGGTGTCAATCAGGCCGGCAGGGGAGCGGTTAGGCGTCAATCAGGCCAGCAGGGGAGCGGTTAGGGGCAATCAGGCTGGCATGCAGAAGCGTTTAGGGGCAATCAGACAGGCAGGCAGGCGAGCAGTTAGGAGCCAGCAGTCCTGGATTGTGAGCTGGATGTCTAATTGCTGGCAGTCGAACATCCCCCAAGGGGTCCTAGATTGGAGAGGGTGCAGGCTGGGCTGAGAGACACCCACCCCCATGCACAAATTTTGTGTACTGGGCCTCTAGTACAGAATAAAATAGAAAACCTCAGAAAAGAAACAGAACTTATAAAATTTGCTCAAACTGACAGTGAAAAAAGAAAAAAGAGGAGAGCTCCAGGAACTTGTGGGAAATAACAAAGATCTGAGACTGGTACCATCAGAGTCTTAGAGGAAAAAGAGAACAGCGCTGAAAAGTGGTGTAAGAAGTATGGTTGAAAGTGTCCCAAATTTGGTAGAAGAATCACATATATAGATTCAAGAAGCTGAGTGAACCAACACAACAGGATCAGCCTAAAGAAATCCAGGCCAAGTCACATCATAATTAAACTTTTAGAAAACTAAAGACAGAAAAAAAATCTTAGTACAGGATAAAAAAGACATCTGTGGATATTCAAGATTTCAAAAACTTTACTTCCCATACACCCTTTCTGAAGAAGGTAGTGAAAAATGTGCTCCTTCAAAACGGGGGAATTATCCAAGAAAAAATGATGGTGGGGAGAAAGTGGTAAAGATGACTCAGGTCACAAGGAGTCGGCAGAACGATGATGTAAAAAAACCTCAGACAGGGCAGCTGGCAACAGCCTGCCTGATAACCAAGAAACTTGGTGGGCCAGAAGATTTCAAGTTCCTTAGGAAGAGGAAAGTGAAAAATCCTAACGTCTTAATATACAAGAAGAGTTTATTAGAAAAAGGCAAAAGACTAGGATTGCAACCTGCAAAAGGTACTCCAGAGAACTAAATAAATAGGCAACAATTATTCAGTCCAGAAAACAAAGTGTTGTCATGCAAGGAAGAATAGTCACAGCACAGATCATGGCTCCATTATGAGTCTGAGTCTCATAATGTTATATTAAACCCTGACCCAACAGAAGCCGACTCATGAGGAAGAAGAGCTGGCAACCATTGATGCAGGTAAGGAGCTCAGAGGCAGTGGAAGAGCCCTAATCCCGTCTTACACTGTGGGAAATCCACATTGAAAACTCTTCCAATTAAAAAAAAAAATCAAGCTTATGTAGATATTTCATTTAAAGACACACAGGCAAATACATAAAGAATCAAAGGGAAAAATGGAAAGTTGTTGTCTCTACTGATTTTTTTCCTAATACCAAATCTTGGAGAATTAATTGCCTGCCTCTTTAAATGAGGTATATGTATCACTAAACAAAAAGATACAAAAGATAAAGCACAAACACAGTGTTAAGGCAAATCTTCAAGAGGAGCTGAAAGAATTCCTAAAATATTTAATTCTTATTTATCTATATAAATTTTAACTATTATCCTATATAATAAAAAGGCTAATATGCAAATTGTCCCCTCGACCAGAAGTTCCACTGGGAATTTGACCAGGGGGCTGGGGCGGGGCCGGCCAGGCAACCGCCCGCGGCCCCTCCCCCCAGCCAGCCCTGCCCCTGATCAGCCCTGGGTGGGCCAGCCCGATCCCACCCATGCACGAATTTGTGCACCAGGCCTCTAGTATATTATAAATACTGTATTATAAAAATGTATATGTTATATTACATATTAACTATTACACATTATAAATATATAACAGTAATTATTGTATTTTATAAATATTTAATAATTCAAATAATACATTAAATATTTCTCTAATAAATTAAACACTTAATGCATACTTAATATTTAATACTTAGAATCCTATATAATAAAGAGCTAATATGCAAATGGTTACCCCGCCCTCACACCGTCACACCGTAACAACTCACTCAACACTGGGGAGAGAGGAATGGGGACCAGCCAGGCACAAATGAGTTCACGAGAGAGGAATGGGTACCAGCCAGGCTGCGGCCCGGGAGAGGGACAAGCTGCACGCCCCGTGGTGCCGGGCACCAGTGGCTGCGCCTGTGCCTGCACCTGCAGCCCAGGAGAGGAACAAGCCGCACACCCCATGGTCCTGGTCGCCAGCAGCTAGGGCTGTGGCCCGGGAGAGGGACAAGCCGCATACCCTGCTGCCCCGGGCACCAGTGGCTGTGGCCTGGGCGAAGCCCTCCACCCACGGTCCACTGCGGCTGCAGCCGGCCTGGGCGAAGCCAGCCTGGGTCCTGGGTGCCTGCGGCCGGCAGGAGGAGGGAATCCTTTGTTCCAGGTGCAGGGCGAGGCAGAGGTGGTTAGGGGAGATCAGGCAGGCAGAGGTGGTTAGGGAAGATCAGGCAGGCAGGCAGAGGGGTTAGGGGCAATCATGCAGACAGGCAGGCGAGCGGTTAGGAGCCAACAGTCCCAGATTGCAAGAGGCAGTAGGACATCCCCCGAGGGGTCCCAGACAGTAGAGGGTGCAGGCTGGGCTGAGGCACATCCCCCCCCCCCCCCGCACAAATTTTGTGCACCGGGCCTCTAGTATTTAATAAAGAAATATGCCTTTGACATTTGGCAATGAAAGCTCTGGCCAACACGGTCACCTCAAGCATAATGCTTGCTGGCACACTTGAATTCGCTTGTCCATGTGAAGCTCACGTTTGGAAAAATGGCACATTTTTCTGGTTCAATTTTCCTTGTTCTGGTTCAGTGAAAC